CCTAACTGTTTTGAGATATTTCAATTTTATTTCAAAGGCCAAGGATCAGGTCTTGTTAGTTGGAATTCCATTAACCTGACTTTCCTTCCTGGTATTGTTCATTGGTAGCTGCAAGCCCATCAAGGCATTGCAACCTACACACCACCCAGGCTGGGTTGGCATACCCGCTCATTGCTGTGGGTCCCCAGAAAAGAGAAAGGGCCTGCCTGGGGGAGAGAGGTCAGGGTCCAGAGGAGTCCTGAGGCAGCACATAGTCTTACCGCATCGAACTCTGCTTGGTCATCCTCAGGTAGGTCGCTGGTTTCATAAACATCTGGCTCGTTCCTGGCCTGTAGGTAGAAGCAGTAACCACCCAACCTCATTACCCAACATCCACCAACACCCTTGACCCTATTCCATTTGAACAAGTTAACAGAGAAGGCAGGCTGTGATGCCAGGAGTCTGTCCCTTCTCTTCCACCTGCCCAGTTAACTGCAGTTCCCATGTCAGAGGGATAGGGATGAGAATGGGGACAACTGGGACTTAGTGGTAAAAAGTGAGTGTAGGTGATGACAAACATGTTACCCTGAATGTGAAGGGGGATGGGTCGTTGGCAATCAGTACGTCAGAAGTAGGAAAAGGGCTATCCTATTAGGTCCTGTACACCACTACCCTGGCACAAGGGTTCAGAGTGACTCAGGACCTTAGTATACCCAAGGTCCTGTACCCAGCCCCCACCCCGACAATGCAGGCGGGACAGCACGAAAGAGGGTATAGGCCAGCATGTGTGGGGTGGGGTGGCCCTCCCCAGAGGACAGAGTTCTCTATCAAGCACAAGAAGGGATTTGCCACGGTAACCTCTTCCTTGGCAGGATGAAGGCCATCAGTAAGCGGCCTGGTATGTGTGTCTGGGGTGGGAATGGGAGCTTATGGGAAGATCTGGGGAGACACGGGTGGTGTTGACACGGATGGTAGAAACACGGGTACAAGTCATAAGGCCCTGAGACAATTTCTGGGCCGAGAAACCGGCGACTGCCGGAAGAGGGGCCTGCTGGGCGGTCCCAAGGCTCGGCCCAGACGGCTCGGAAGAGTCCGGAAGATGCAGCGGCCCATCCAGGAGCGAGCGGAGGGAGCCCTGCGGGTGGAGGAGGGGCTGCAGGCGGGAGGGGTCACAGGTTGGTGCCTGTTGGGGGTCCTTAAGAGGTCGGGGGCGCGGTCCTAGGGAGGAGAGGCCGGCCCTGTACTCACAATGCCGGGAAGGTCGGCGTATTTAGGGTCCGCCATGGCGGCGGCGAGGCGGGTTTGGGGGAGCGGGGCCTCGGCGGAGCCGGGGCCGGTGTTCGGGTAGGGGAAAGGCCGTGTCCGGGTCCCAGGCTAAGGCGGCGGCCAAGGGAGCAGCGCGGAGGCGGAGGAGTAGGAAGTCTCGCGACAGCAGTAGGACAGGAGGAGGATAAAGCAAAAGTCGCGAGAGCAGCCCGCTACCACACCCCTATAGAGGCAAGGGTTGGCGAGAACAAGGCCAGGGAATGAGGTAATGGCCAGGGACGCTGACTAGGATTGTGGGATATGTAGTCTTGGTTGACCCGGGCTTGGGAGACGGGATGACAATAAAGCGCCTTGGGAGTTATTTCAATCAACCTATTTTCTTTAGTTTTCTACATCAAGTCTGTGAAAGAGCTTTTATAATTCCTGCTTTTCAGATAGGTAAATTTGGGCTCCCCAGAAATTAAACGACTAGATATAAATAACAACTAGGCATGCTGTGACACAGCCAGAATTCCAAAAACAATGATAACAAGTGAATTTTAATAAATGCCTAGTCTTGTTAGGAATGAAAAAGTTAAGTAATCTTCTCAATTTCTGGCTGTCATAAAATACAGGACTCCTGGTTAAATTTGAATTTCAAATAAACAACTAGTAGGGTTTTTAGTATAGCTGTGCCCCATACCATATTTGGGACATAAGAGCAAAAACGAATAAAAATATTAGGTTTTAAATCTGAAATTCAAATTTAACTGGTTATCCTGTTTTTGTCTTCAAATCTGGCAATCCTATCTCAAGTTCATAAATAGGTAAGTGATGGCTCTATGTCTGAACACCCTCTGTGCCCTTAGCCACTTCACTGTTTTCAGACTTTTGAATTTGACAGTTCAATAAAATTAACACAACAACAACAAAGTTTTGCAAGGATAAACGTATTATTGCTACCTTTTCATTTTGCCAAGTACATTAAAAGAAAGAAAATCTATTTACTATTTCCACCATTTCTTAGCAGAAAAGTAGGAAGGATATACTCTCAGAATAAAAGACAGTCCTTTGAAACTTAATAAATCCTGCTTTATGAAAAACCACACTGTGTTTTTTTGCAGAGGTGCTTACCCATAAACTTTTGTCTCTGACCAATGACCTTCCGTGGACTAGCATTTTGAAACTCCTTTACTTATGGATGCCATCCTGGAGCCCCTGGGGACCTGAGGTTGAGATGTTTCCCAGGATGTTCCCTAAACTTTCAGGATGCTGCAAAACTTAGAAATAGTGACAGACCAAGTGACTGGAGAGATGCCTATTTTCCTGTGTTTGGAACTCATTGTCATTCTATGCATACTCCCTTGGCCCCTCCCCAAGCCTCTGTCCTTCTTTCTCCATAGTCCTATTGCCTTCCCGTCCAGTTTATTATCCTGAACCCTTCTTCAGTTTCCTCAGGATTCAAGGTAGGTTAGAGTTATGGGCCCAATTTGGGAAATCCTCCCAATTTAGTTCTGAGTGGTTAGGTCTTTTCTGGCCAGGCCATTCTCTTCCCTTGCCTCATAGTGTCTAAGTGACCTTAGACAGTTGCTGGGCAGAACCTCCATACCCTCCTCCCTTCTTCCATCACCATGCTCCTCCCCTTGGCCTAGAGCCTCAACTCCTGCAGTCTAACTCTGTTGGCCAGCAGAGGCCTGCGATGTGGAGAAAAATCAATTTGGCCAGCTTCTAGATCTTTCTGCCCAGGGGCTGCAGCAGAAGTCTGACCTAAGGGCAGGAAGGACAAGTAATCTCTAGGCTTGGCTTTTTTTTTTTTTTTTTTTTTTTGCCGGTGAAAGGAAAGAGGTTTATTTGAGTGCCAGCTCTCTTCACCCTTTTGTTTTTAAACAATTGTACTGCCTGAATCTTACTGAGTAGCTATGCCATCCACTCTTCTTCATAAACACATCATTTTGATTTTAAATCTTCCTGTTTTTGCACCTACGGGAGTCATTCTTCCNTTTTTTTTTTTTTTTTTTTTTTTGGCCAGGGAAATGGGAGAAACAGAGAAGAAAGGCCTGAGAAAGGGGCTGAGGTGTTAGGACTCTGTCCAGAATAGTAACTGGGACAGTAAACACACTCACATAGGTACCTAAACCTGCCTAAAACCCAGATACAGACGTCTGCACCAGAAGTCCTCTCTTAAAATCCTTCTGGTCTTACCTGCCCCATCACCACCCCTCCTTCACTGCTTTCTGACTCCCTTTCTCTTGCAAAAGTTACTGCTGCCCACTTTCATTCCAGGTCCAACCTATGAGGCAAAAATGAAAATTTTATCTGCTTTTGAATTCTAATAGCCCCAAATGGGAGTTTGTCTTCCTTCAAACTAAGGACCTGGAGTGTACTTTGGGGACATAGTAGACTGCACCCCTGGATGTAAAGGGTAAGATAATAGCCAAACCTCCCCTGATACTCTTCTCTGGAAAAAAAATGGGACCTGGACAACCACCTCCATATGGGTATAGGCTGCAGCCCTTGAAGGGTGAGTGGGTTGCGAATCTGTGCCAGGGGTGTGTGGAGAAGAAATGAGAAGTGTGCTCCCAATTTGGAGAGAGGATTGTGACAGGGGTGGACGATGCCCTGGAGTAAAGGGGTCTGGGAATGCTGTTGATTCTCTTCCCTAGACAGGCTACAGGCCCTCCGCACACCCCTTATTCCTTCCAGAGGGGTGGAGTCTGAGAGGGGGACAGACAGGTCAGGGAGGTGGGAGGTAGTGAGTAAGTTGGGTAGGGAAGGGGTGAGAGCAAGGTTATCTTCGAGAGTTAGGGGCGGGTAGCAGGCAAGAAGGGAGGAAAGCTGCGACCGTCGGTGATGGAAGGCGAGCGGCAGGCCCC